GTGATGAAAAAAGGCAAAGATTGAATTCTTAGTTCAACAATTGATTTTTTTTAACCCTAAAAAAAAATCAATACTTTCATTTTTATTTTTCCCACCCATCTCCACAATTATGAGTTCTTTTCATTAAACATGATATTTAATTAAAAAAAAATGTTATTTGGACCGACCTAATCCGTTGATCTAATCAACTATAACTGTTAAATTAAAACATTAAGTTTATAGTTGTACTAAATTATGTCCTTGATTTAATCTCCAATCTTATTTTCCCTTTAAAAATATATACTTGTTGTATAAGGGAGTTGTGGTGAACATCGTCCATGAAGCAGCAGTTTACTTATCAACCAGTTCTAATTTACCCACAGAAATCAACTACAGAAGGAATCATAAGCAAATCCAAGTGAAAATTATAGACCCGACAGTCCTCTTTGTCTGTTTATGATCATGTATGAGTTGGTGACTGTACGGAAATAGAACATGGGTAGCACTTGAGATCAACAGCTGATCGTGGAGATCAGAGAGGTCTTTCTTTTTTCCTGTTTTTATTGATGATGAAATCAACAAAAAAAATAAAAAAATAAAAATAAAAACTTGGCAACCATTAAGAATGTATGTAGTAGTTAGCAGCTCACATGGGTGGTAGTCATATCTTTGAAGTATTATATTCAAGTTCAAGCAAATGGTTGTGGAGTACATTTTTATATCATTCAGTACATGATTGAGAGATTAATCACCTACCTAGCATGTCTTTCTTTCTTGAACATTTGATGGAACTAGACATATATGTATACTTTGTTTTCTTGGATGATACGATTCATGAATACGTTCCTTTGCCTATGCATATAATTAGGATTGATAATTATTAACACGATTTACATATCCAATATGCTCGCGGAGTATGAGTTTAGCGTCGTTGGTTTTGGGTCATATCTGCCAATCACAAGCAAAACTTGTCATCAAATATGAACATGATGCTCATAAAAATAGGTATCAAGTTTACAGAAATGCAAGCTTTAGGAATGACTGATGAGAGAGATGCTATCTTGTCGACGAAATAGTATTCAGGTAGGTTGAGGAAAAAACAAAACCCATGTAAAAGTACCTTTGGAATGCATCAAAAAGGTTGGTGAAGACAATTTTTTACTTACTAGATGTGTTTTAAAGTCTCAACAAAGCTTAAATAGATAAGTTTGAAGGTGTACTCTATTAAAATTAATTGAATCTCTCCTAAATTATTGTCTAAAAGTATATTATTTTAGTGATTTCGTTAGTTAACATGCCTTCTTGTCTCCAAGATCACTCTTCCCCTTCAAGCTTAAGTGGCCAACAAGTACACATGACAGAAAGCCAGGTTAATTGGGGAGAGATAATGGTTGCCAGGGAAGCGACGCCATGCATGAACCACCACTGTTGGCCGGTACGTCCGTCTGTGTGTCGAATGGCCACACATAGGTTAGCCTTGTCACCAGCCTAATGTTAAGGCCATGATTGGAGTTGTAATTTGGGTGTATATAAAAGGAATTGTAATAATTTTAGCCATCATTAAGAACTTCACAGATTTCATGTTATTAAGCATGGCGTCGTAGACAACGTTGATGAAGCATAAAATTTTCTTAAAGCTTCCGTGAGAATAACTGTTAGAAATAGTTGGTGCTCATATTCACTAACTTCAAAGTTGTCAGTGTGTGGGGCAAAGAGCATGAGTACAACTTAGCGGAACAAAAGCGAATAGGTATGAGTTATTGACTGGGATTAAGAGTTTTCAATTAGTACTTACAAATAAGTTGCAAGTCTATTGGGAAGAAGAAAAACACAAACACGACCTGAAACCATATCAATTCCAAGGAGTATTAGTATCATTATTAGGCTTGGATGTGGGACCAAAATGCACATTTTGGAAAGGGTCTACATGTTGGTGCTTATGTGTGACAGAAGAAAGTGATTGAAAGTGATTAATGATTATATAAGATTAGTTAATGATACTAATACAGTATTGCTCGACAAGCTGTGACCTGTATGACTTCAACAAATCAAGGACTGCAAAGGAAACTTCTCTCTCTCTCTCTATGTGCCTTCTGCTTCCCCTAATCGGAGTGTTCTATTCCAGTGTCACTATCTTTTGTTTCATTCATTTGTGGAATATGCTCCTTTTCAACTACTGTCTTCTATCTTGCATTTTAATTTGATTATCTATACCTATTCTTAAAAGAGTATAACGGATCCCATAACCACAACCAAATAAGTTGATGTATAATGAATTGAAAACGGACCTTATAGGATTAGGGTAAAAATTATATGTAAACTCATGCAATTTATCGTTAGTCTAATAGTGAACAGCTGATAAGAATGCGTTATTTGAATGGAATCCAAATGTGAACCCCGTCATTCAAAAAAACAGAACTGTAAACCCGCAATGCCTTTTTTGAAACAGTAAAAATCAAGTTGATAAAAAAGTTTTTGGTATTTCATTACTCACCAAATCATTCAGGCTCAAGTGGTAAGAAAACTTGCATTTGTGTGACCAAAGTCATCTTATATTAACTTCCACACTTCAAAAAATCATAAGGTGCCAAGTTATTTTCACTCAAATTTGGAAGCTCTATGGCAATTAGTATGCCCTGTTAATTTAGTCGAGAAATGAGAGTGTAGATTTACCTTCCACATGCAAATTTTTTTCTCTTTTTTCGGTGATTTGTGGAACGTGTGCCTGTCCATGCGTGATTCTTCCAACGATAGATATATTATAACTAAAGTTATTTTCTACATGCATGCAATCACTTGTAAACCATGTACTTTGATGCTATTTTCTTGCTTTCCTAATAATACACCAGTACTTGAATTAATCCATCATCCCTTAAAATGCTAACAAACTGAGTGGAGTCTGTCAATATGGATAGCTTTTAGACTTGACGACATGCAAGGAACCCTCTTGATGTTGTCCGTGGAAGCTTTACAAAATGGGAAAAAAATGGATCGTTAATCAAACCAAGAAATTGATACAAATAGTTCACAGTGAAGGATTTTACAAAACGGGAAAAAAAATGAACTATAACAAAAGAAAGAACTTGATACAGATTGAACCAGTAAAACAATCTCTATGTAATATTTCATTACATTTTGTCAAGACTGGATCAAGTAGTAAATGCTTGTAAATGCTTGTAAGTGCTGTAGAGGGAAATAACGTAAGGTCGTTTCCAGGGTTGGGATTGTTTTAGTTGTGGAGGATGCCAGCTCAAGCTAAATGTAATCAACAACTAATAGTGCAATATATTGTAACACTTGTATAATGTAAGGTCTTGCACTTACACTTATCATAAAAAACACGTTAGGACAGGTCAAAACTCCTATACACATTATTTTAGGTCATTAAGATGTTTAAAGTAGCAATTTATGACCTTGCATAACCTAAGCCAATGCCAATAATGAAACTTGTTAGGAAATTGACATCATTTTATTATTATTTCTCTGCATTGAATCTATGTTAGACATCAAGCACTTAGGAAATGCAAATGCAGAGTGTATCGTCACATCCCATAACGAACAACTTAAGTTTTTTGATTGCGAGACCGTGACAAAATGTGGTGTTAGTCTCTTTTATAGTACTTGCTTCAATCAAACACTCATGATCCTTCACCGTTGCAGCTTCAAAAATTTCACTATACTCTGCAAATGATGCATATTGAGCAATGTTAATCATCTTCAACTAAACATTAAGAAGAAAAGTATACAAACTGCTGGTCAAAACACCATTACTGCCCAGCACAGCATGCATCCAGATATTCCTTAACAAATTCTTCAATGTTCTATTAAATTGCAACGCTAGCATCTTGTAAATGTAGTTGCAGCTATTATATAAAATTGAAGATATTCTAAAAATGAGCTGAAAAGGATCCAATCATCAAGCAAATAGAAATGGGGTTGGTTTATGCTAGCTCTTTTGTCCTTTAAGGATGTTGAACGGAATCTCAAATGAGACTAAAAAATGGAGGATGGGGGGGAGAAGAGTTTTAATGTTTTATAATCAAGAAATAATGAAATCTGTAGGCCAATAAGGGAACCAATGTAATTAATTACTCAATATCATATCACCCACCTCCCTCCTCCTTTGGTGCTTATAAACATGGTGATGATGCTTGCACTAAACAGAGAGAAGATTACTAGTACCATACCAAAACCCCAAAAGATCAGAATGACAGGCTCTGGTTCTCCTTGTGGTGCCTGCAAGTTCTTGAGAAGAAAATGTGTAAGGGGTTGTGTTTTTGCCCCTTACTTCTGTCATGAACAAGGTGCAAGCCATTTTGCAGCAATCCATAAAGTCTTCGGTGCCAGCAATGTGTCGAAGCTCCTAGCTCACCTCCCGGTGAGTGACCGCTGTGAAGCTGCTGTCACGATTTCGTATGAAGCTCAAGCTAGGCTTCAAGATCCCATTTATGGATGTGTTTCACATATCTTCTCTCTCCAACAGCAGGTTTTGTACTCATTTATCTTGCATCTTATAAAATTTGGTGATTGAAACCCTAATTTACTGTTAGGTCTCAACTTTATTTTATTTTATTTTTTAATTCAATTGTGCAGGTTGTTAATCTACAAGCACAACTAGCTTCTCTAAAGGAACAAGCAGCTCAAAGCCTTCTCAGTGGCTCCAACAGTACAAACTTTAATGATAGATTCACTGGAAAATGCCCTTCTTACCCACTGGATGTTCAAAGTTGGTTCCAGTCAGAATTTTTTAGCATGATGCCCCAATTTGATCCCAACTTAACCGGTGGTATAGGAAACATGCCATATTGTGAAGACGGGTCCATCAATCTGGGAAACTATGAAAATTCAGTCCTCCCAGAAGATAATATCTCATTTTCTAACTTGGAAGAAGCTTCTCATTCCATGGACTCTCTCCATGATGTACAAACAAACAGCAAGCTATGGACTTTCTGAGACGACCCGAATGATCTTCAATCGGTGGCCTTCGGATATATTCAGCGTTCATAATGCAATGGCACCTCAGCAAAGTATATCATGGGGGAAGATTACTCTGCCAATTCTGTATTGCTACCTCAACCTTTGATGTTATGTACCTCTGCTGCCATAAGAAAATGTAGGAGCCCAAAAATGTTCATACTTACTATATTGGAAACCCTATAATTTTATCTTTCGAGTGTTTTCCTAGATTCTATGTAACCTTGGATATGAGTAGAATAATAGTTTACTACACCGACGAATCTCGTTTTTTTGAGCTAAACAAATCAGCTTTTTAGTGGACCAAGCTAGTTAAGACCTAAATCTTAGACTTAATCAAGACATTAAAACTAGCTAATCATTTTGGTTTTGCTTTACCTTATGAACCTATGAAGTTGGTCCAGTAAACATTGCACAAGTTGATGCTATTTGTGAAAATTTACAGAGTAATCCTTTCCTAAACAAATTTACTGAGTAACCCCATAAACAGTGTATAGTACAAGATCGCGATTTGGGTCACGTAATGTGTGGACTCTTTGTTTACAAGAGTTGATTGTGTAAAAAAGGGCAAAGTAAGCTGGCCTGGACACTAGAACCACAAAAAAAAAAAAAAGGTGGAAAAGTGGAATTTGATTTATACATGTCTGCTTGGTGCAAAACTATCTTGTTGGTCTTAGTTTGTAAAAGAAAGTTTTCGTTGTGTTTATACCAGGAATAGCTTTATTAGTTATTAGAGGAGTATTATAGTTGATAACTTAACATCTGAAAATGTGTCAGGTTATTGCAGAATGCAGAGTTCCTGAAAAGATACTTTATATGTTTTCTATGGAAAAAAATGCAATCCCGAGGGAATTAGGTATTGTTCTTACTTTAGTTACCTCATGGGAAGCAGACCTAACTTCGTTGATCATACGCCCTTTCCGGTGCTTGTTGATTGTCTTTTACATACCTCAAAAACCCTAAAAATTCTTCAGCTGAAATTTTTGAAAAGATTTTTGGTACTTGATTTGTTAACCTTTTGGAAGAACGAGTTAGGCCAGAGTTTGACTATATTTAAAAAAAAGAAAGAAAAAAACTCTTTATAATAGGAAGCTGCTTATCTGGTGAAGGTCATTTGATTCTCTCCTAACATTATAGCGTTCACAGTCAAGTCCTGCTCCCTAAATAGTTGTAAACAATGCACAAACTTCTCAGTGTAACAGCAATTTGATTGAGTTACTAAACTGCATGCTATCACTACCTCTAACTCATGCGTGTGTGGAAGATTTTTGGGCAATAATGAGTAAATAAATCGTATTGGAAGCCTCGTGCACTGGATCGCTCTTTTTTTAATAACAGAATAAGTGGAATAGTGAGGCTTTTCGGCTTCACCAGCATATGACATAATGTTGCTGTAGTAGAAGTGGCATAAGAACTGAATTTAAATCTATTAAGGCTTTTTAACATCCACAAGATAGCTGAATGTTGTTCTAAATGGAAGTTGTATAAGCAGGAGAGCCCTGGGGAAGCGCGGGGTTGTCAGATTTTTGTTATGTCCTTTATACATAGAGGTAGAAGATCAATGATAGCCTTTTGAGGCATTTGAAGAGTTACTCCTAGCATTTTGAAGAGTTACAGAATGCAAATGGCACAACAAGCCAGAGTGCAAAGCACAAGTAGAGGGCCCTTCTTTTTTTTAAAAAAAATTTCTGTTGAACAAAATTGAGCATTGAACTAGAGAACTACATATCGAAGGTTTCGGGGCGTATAAGAGAAAAATAGGGAATGCTTGTGAGTTGTACTTGTCCAGCAATAGTGCTTGATGATTAGGAGATGAAATATTCCAGCTACTGCCTATTTTATTTCTTCTCCAACAACTTTAGATACATATTCCAGCAACTTTTTAGATGCATATGACCATACTACAAAAACTGTTCTTAATCTGTCCGGCTAGCTAGCTGCTGTTTTTAAGTATCTAGTGCTAGAAATTTAGAATATGGGCTTATATACAAGATTCAAATCCAATCCAAAAAACTTAACTCACGTTTAGAGTAATTTGTTTCAAACTTGGTATATTAACCCTATTTTTTTTTCTTACCAACTCAATGTGGGATTGCCCTTGCCTGCTCACATTTGGTTCGACAACCTACTGAGTTTGTTGATGACTTTTTCTAGAATGCAGAAAAATTTGGTGTTTTCGGCAAAGCTCTAGGTAGATTTTGTATTGCATCTTGGGTCAAATTTATTGGTGGGAAGCCAGGAGACTCTTGACAATTTGCGTGGCATAGGGTTTGTGAAATATCTCCAAGCCATTTGTTCCTTCTAATTATTAAGATTTCAGATGCAAGGGTTTTTTTTTTGTTGCAGAGTATCTAGACTTGAGCTAACTCTCTTGAACTTGGACCTGGCCCCAAAGATCTGAGCCGGTTTAAACTACTATACTGATGTATGATAGACGGGCTGGGGTATTGGGAGTGTAAAACCTAGAACCTCTTACTTATGTTAAACAACCATAGTTGTTAGAGATGATATAATTTCAGTATTTATTAAGCAAACATAAATGTTAGAAAGAATGTAGCTTAAATATTTATTAAACGATCATAACTGTTAGTGACGATGTAACTTAAGTGTTGGGCGAGATTTGAATGCAGAACTCTTGTTATAATACCATATTCAACAATCATTTACTTTAAAAGTTTAAATTATTAAAGAGGATGTAACTTAAGTATTTATATTTTAACCGCTAAACCACTTTAAAAGTTTAAGTTATTAGAAATGATGTAATTTAGATATTTATAGTAAAAGGTTAAACTTAACCGCTAAACCACCCTAAAAATTAAATGCAAGGGAATTTAATTGCTCCTTATTCTAAGTCATGTCCTCTCCTAGGTTTCCTTCAAATTTCTATAGAAGTTAAAGATATTGTTTGGTTAATGTTCTGGAAGCACTTTCCTTTCTAGTCCCAACTTGAAAAGCAGTTTGCTAACTAATTTCAAGACTTTCCGATAACTTCACCTTTCTCACTCCTTATGGAAGAAGAATTTCGTTAAAAATTACTGAATGCATATTCAACGTATATTATTTTGTTAATTTATTAACCCAATTCATTGTTTTTATTAGATTATTAGTAGATCTCACTAAAAATTAGACCTCAATATTAATCACACGACAACTATATATTAAATTAATAAATTAAATTAAAATAATACCCATAAATTTAATGTTCATTAGGCCCTACTCATAATGGCCGTTAATGATAAACATTCCCTTATACTAAACAAAGCCCATTTGTAGGTGGAGAGTGAAGACAGCTAAAGTGGATTGGACCCTTAATCCACACCTCCAGAAAAACCCACGATCCATATCACAGCTTTCTATTAATAAGATTAGTACAAATCAGATCACTCCATAGAAAGGGCAATCCTTGGACTAACAAGCCAATTTGTCTCGGACCAACCCTATCCCATGGCACCACTTAATCAACCACAACTCTCCGATCAAGTGCACTCAATTGAACCTTAAGGGTAGTACATGGTTAAATCTGTCATTTTGTAAATAAAAAATCTTAGATTTAATATTTTTTACACCTCCTAAGGACTAGTTACTTTTATTCCTCATGGAACATGTGCTTAAACTAGCTCGAATTACGATGACCAATTCAGAACTTGAACGAGTAATCGATACAAATCTGAACAACTTATAACAAATAAGAAAAAAAAAAGTGCACTTAATTGTCTTTTTTTTTTATTTTCATGCCCTAACTTGCTCGTTATTTCTCTCATTTACAATTTCGCTTGCTTTTAAAGTTAACTTTGTCCATTAAAACGTTTTATTTTAAATCAAATTTTTTACTCAAATGTCGATTCAAATTGAGTAAGAGTTGGAGATGTTGTAATAAAACACACCATTGCAAGACTTGGTAATTAATAAGTTGTTACTTGTAAAGACAAAACCCCTCTTCCTCTTTTGATCCATCACAGCCCATAACGCACCTGCACACTCAACGGTCAAATTTTGTTGGCATTGAAACATCTGAAAACAAACGCTTGACGCCATGAATATATATATGTTCATTCTTTTTTCCACTATTGCTTACGCCAAAGCCACTTTTTTTATTCCCTTCTGATGTTAATAGTTAGCTACGTACCAAATAAAAACTCCTCGACTAATACTGCTTTATGAATTCTCACCATTTGATGAGGAAAAATTCCATTTCCTAGAGTTAAAATGTTACTTTAAAAGTTTAGAAAATTGTTTTATTTTATCCCTTTGTTGACCCATTTTTCTTACTTAGCTTCCCATCTTTTATTGGTGTTGAGTTTTAGTATAATCCCAATGCCTGATACCCCCACAATATTCATTATTTAAATGTGGTATATTTTAGTAAGCCTCGGTGCAACCATTGTTCTATTTTGATTTGTTCATCAAAGATTTAAGTCTCAAAAAATTCTCTCTGTGTCTAAAGTTGTAAATATCTGATCTGCTAGTAGCAGCGAGAGTTTCGTATATTGAGCCCATCTTTTTCACTAAAGGGTATAGTGCAAGTGGTATCTCCGTGATCTAACATTACTTACTCATGAGTCAAGATATGAGGATGGTCTATGAAGCGTTACTATCATCAAGGCTATAGCTCAAGTGAAAAATTGGACTTGCTGTATGAACGGCTGAAATATATATACATATATATATATATAGAGAGAGAGAGAGAGAGAGAGATTGTCTGGTTCAAACAAATTGAACATGCTTTCCACCTTTTAAGAAGACTACTAACGCAAGGAAGAGACCAAACTATTTTTTGTCTTTGGACTTATTTTCTCTCTCTCTCTCTCTCTCTCTCTCTCTCTCTTAACTTGTTTAACTTGTCTTCCTTTTTCTTGGTGATTATTTAACTTTTTGTGATGAGACCCTTTCCTCATCTAGTGAACTCACATTCATCGCCCAGTAATTAATTAAATAATGAGCCAACACGAATGTTACTTTCTAAGTTCAACTAATGTAGTCTTGTGGGGTCAATGAACCCCACGGGCTTCTTCAATAATAATAAAACTTCATTTTCTTACAACTTTTTTTTGTCTTCTGTGATTGAACAACGCCGAAATTACGTTTGAAAGTATTTACGTGCGGCTTGAC